AAAGTCTGGTGAGTACGCGGAGAGCTGAGGCTGGAGAGATGGGTGTTAAGTGCTTTCTAGGTCACCTTGAGTAGTCCTCATCATTGAAAGGTTTTAGGCAGAGGAAAGATGCTGTAACTACATTCTTATTTCAGGAAGACTCTGGTTTCAGGGGGAGAATGGATTAGAGAGGAGGCCAGGAGAAACAGGAAACTGCTGCAGTAGTCCAAAGAGAAAGGCAGACTTATCCAAAGGGTGAAAAGAAGTAGGGCAGACAGGACTTGAGGATGAATGGAAGAGGAAAAGGCTTTCCACACATTTCAAAAAAGGTTTCAGCAATTCACACTGCCTTCAGCAGTGTGTGTTTGTCCTGGTATAAAGGAACATCTTCTCAGTCACTGCCAGCACTGGACCTCTTCACAGTAAGCGACAAATGATCACTCTCTCTCTTTTCGCAGCTTCTAGAACATCACTCTGCCAAAATCCTAAACTCTTTTGTAGTAGAAAGAAGCACATAGTTTTAAAATGAAGAACAAATCAGAGAAGGAGAGAACACCAGCTCTCCTGAGTCTTGTCTTTCTTCTCGGGCTCCTTGGCCAGTTGCTCTGAGATACATACCTTCTACCAACCACTAAGAGATGGTGTCCCAGGATCCAGTATGTTATTTCCTCATTCCACACTCACCATCAGGCAGTATGCTCAGACCTCTGTCTTCTATACTTGCCATCCTTATTTCTACTTCTAAGTGGAGAATTCTAGACCTGTTTTTTGGTGTTGTTTGTTTGTTTTGCAAACTACCTACTGATCATCACTGTTAGGATAATTACCCATCTCAGTGTGACATGAAAACAAAATCCATTACCTCCTTTACTCCAAACCAACCCTTTTTTGTGGTCTCCATCTCAATTCACAGCTTCGTCATCTGATCAGTCAGTCACTCAAGCAAGAACCTAGGAGATGGTGTTGCCCACAATTTCTCATTTACCATTATATTTGTCACCAATGGCTTCACCAATGTCTGCCCATTCTACTGCAAGAGTATCTCTGAACCCCTTCATCTGTGTTCCCAGGTCCACCACTTCAGTTCTGAGCCCCTGCTATCTTATCAAAGATATCTCAGTAGCTCCCTGACAAGCCTACCATATCTCCTCCAACCTATCCTTTCCATCAGTTTGTTTATTTATTTATTTTTATAAACACAGAATGGGCCATGTTATCTCCATGTATAATAATCCCCAATCACTTCCATTTGCCCCCTGAAACCAGACACCTATAACTGGGCCCTGACCTACATGTGTGGTCTACCCTCCCTGAAGCCCGTGCTCCAGTCACTAATAATAAACTCCAGTAACTGCTCATTATTTCCCAGACATATCGTGTGCAACTCCTTCTGCCTCATGGCAAAGTCCTATTCATCTCACAGGCTAGCTTAAATCTCAGACGATTTTCCAAACTCTTTCCCTGTCAGATAAAATATACTCTATTGGTTGCAACGTGGAACCAATGACCTCTTACACCTCCATTTCAGTATTTGTCACATTATCTTAGAATTGTCTATCTGGTTCTTCCACTACACATTGAGCTCCTAAAGAGCAAAAGTTATGGAGCCTCAGCACTCAATACAGCCTGCGTGGTGTGTGATATGTGCTCACTGCATGTCTAGGAAGGAATGAAAGAAGGATAAAGAGTAGGGAGGCATATTCCATGGGACTGCCATTACAGCCAATAAAAATAACTAAAAATAAAAATTTTAAGTAGTGAAAGTCAGCCATGAAAATAAATTTTGAAGAATGACTAGTATCTGTCTCCCTCCCTCATTTCCATGTAGTCCCATCTTTCCTTCTTCAGTTCCATTTAGTTCCCTTCAACTTTATATTAGCAACTTTTGAATTTCTAATGACACTTTCCTTTGGGGTCTAACTTTATTAATATGTACCTTTTCAGGATATTACAAAGCATCCTGGTATCATGAGAAAAACACTGGATAGAGAGTTGGCAAACTATGAATGCTAGGTTGTTACTTTTTTCTATAAATATTTATTAGCATGGACTATGTTAATATGTTATATCTCTCTTATACACTAAGTGCCTGCATATATCTGTGAACAAAAAATACAAAGATTCCTGCTTCCTTGAAGTTTATATTCAATTAGGAGAGGGGCAGATAATAAATAATAAACATAATAAATAAGTATTTTGTTAGCTGTGGATCACAAGTGCCACATTGGTGGAGGGAGTAGAGAAGATTGAATAAATTATACTTGTAAATGGAAAGGTCTCTTTGAGATGAAATTTACGTCAAGAAGGTAAAGGAGTGGCCCAATCCAGGGACCTGGGGGAAGAGCGTTCAAGCAATAGTATCAGCTACAGCAGAGACACTAAGGGGGAATGCACATATGTGTTTGAAGAATAGCAGAAAGGTCTGTGTGGCCACAGAGAGTGAGTGGGAGAGAAAATCATAGGGGCCAGATGATGAAGTCTCATGAACTGTCATCATCAGGACCTTAGCTTGTCCTCTGATATTGATGACCACCCATTGTGGACTTCATTGTAAGGTGCGGAGTGGCATGGTATGACTTGAAACCATTTGATGGCTATGTTTAACACAGACTGTGAAGAAGAAAGGACAGAGGCTATGGAGCAAGTCAGAAGCCACTGTAGTGATCCCAGCAAATGATAGTGGTTCAAAACAGGGAGAAGAGGAGAAGTCACTGGTTTCTGGATATATTTTTTAGTAGAAGCATCAGGATTTCCTAGCAGATCAGGTACAGGAAGTGAGAGAAAAGATTCAAGGAAGATGCTAAGAGTTTTGTCCTGAGGCAACCGAAGAGGGGAGTTTCCATCAATTGAGATGAGGAAGGCTGTGGATAGAGCAGATTTGGTGTAAGAAGGAAAATGGAGTTTCAGTTTTGGATTTGTTGAGATTGAAATGTCCATTAGATGTCCAAGGAATACAATAGTCCCCTTTAACCATGGGGGTGTGTTCCCAGATCACCAGTGAATGCTTGAAAACATTGATAGTACAGAGCCCTATGTATACTATGTGTTTCCTTTATGTATTTAGCTATGATAAAGTTTGATTTATAAATTAGGCATAGAAGATTAACTACAATAACTAATAAAATAATAGGACAATTATAATAGTGTACTATAATAAAAGTTATATGAATGTGCTGTTGTTTACTCACATACTCATTCTCATGTCCACATCACTACACTGGCATTCTGGGGACCCTATTAAGTAAAATCAGGGTTAGTTGCGCATAAGCACGGTGATATTTCAACAGACAATCTCACAACCAACATGGCTACTACGTGACTAATGGGCAAGTAGCCTATACAACGTGGATGCACTAGACAAAGGGATGACTCACATCTCAGGTGGTGTGGAGTGGGATGGCATGAGGTTTCATCATACTACTCAGTACAGGACATGAATTATTTACTTCTTGGAATTTTTACTTCTCATGAATTCTTTACTTCTCAAATTGGCCATTTAATATTTTCAGACAATGGTTGACCACCATGGGTAACTAAAAGCACAGAAAGTCAAATCCCGGATAAGGGGGAACTACTATATGCCAAGTACACATTGTACATAAGAGTCTTGGGTTTGAAAGAGAGGTCAGAACTATAGATTTAAATTTTTAAGTCACAAGTGCACAGATGGTTTTTTAAATCATGAGACTGATACCATCCCATGTATCCAAGCCAAATTAAATTATATGTTTAACCTTAACTGTATAATCTAATCTCTGTGTTTCTTATTTTTCTGCTCTGTATAATGATAGACTAAATCAGTGATTTTATCTGTGTCCCATGGGGCTCTAGGGTTCCATAGAAAGACCCATTTAGATCCTGACTATTGTCCAATTCATGAATTATTTACTCAATTAAACCCTGCTAAATCTAATTTAATTTAAAGATTTTTTTAATGATGTGAAAGGAAATTAAAAAATAATCAGGGGTGGGGTTATAGCTCAGTGATTGAGCGATTGAGCGCTTGCCTCACATGTATGAGGCACTGGGTTCAATCTCAGCACCACATAAAATAATTAATTAATTAATTAAAGATATTGTGTCTGTCTATAATTTATATATATAAAGAAAATCAACCAGGCATGGTGGCACTCACCTATAATCCCAGCAACTCAGAAAGCTAAGGCAGGAGTCCAAAGCCAGCCTCAGTAACTTAGTGAGGCCCTAAGCAATTTAGCAAGAACTTGTCTCAAAATAAAAGAAAAATTTTAAAAAGGGTAGGGATATGACTCAGTGGTTAAACATCCTTGGGTTCAATCCCTGGTACTCATCATCATCATCATCATCATCATCCTCAAATATCACTTACTAACAAAAAAGAAAGAAAGGAAGACCCATCTGGATCTGAGAAGTTTGCTCTCCATTGCCTAAGTCACAAAGTAATCCCATATTTTTACAACCATAAGACATATATTTAGAGAGGAGACAAACTGATATTTGTGATGTGTACACTATAGTGGAATAGGATGTATTTGGAGGAGACTAACTTTCTGAACAAAATAATAAATTAGTGCCATATATACATATAGATGGACAATTATATAGTTAATATATATTCAGGGTTTCCTCTTTAAAATATATTTACCTGAACATCAAATTGAAATATAAAAAAAATTCCATTTCCTTTAGATTCAATTGGTTGCAGTTGAGTATTCAGAATTTCCTTTGACTTTGTGACCAGAACAATTAGTAATTTAACTGTAGAAAAAAGCCCAAAGTTAGTACTATAAGAAAACCTTAGAAAGAATTCAGTGGTTAACCCTCCCTTTACAACGGAGAGCTGAAGCCCAAAGGTCAAAGGTCATGCTAGAACTGAAACCCAGGTCTCCAGACTTCTTGTCCTGTGCCCTTTGTAACCACCATCTGCTGACTTCTGTGCTGCTTCAAATTTACAATAAAGGCAGAAATCAACACTGATATGTAGTCTTCATATTTTCTTAAGACATCAATTTTACATTAATGCTCTTCCTATTTTCCCACAGTTCTAAGGGTCATCCTTGCCATTGCCTTTTGCCTGGTGTCTGGCATCCTAGTGGTGCTACTCTTCACGCTCATCCGCCATGGGCCCTGTTGGCAGAGAGACGCCTATCGGAACATCTGAACAGACTGCGGAACAAGAGGAGACAAGCAGATCCCAGTTCCTGGGATACAGCCCTGACAGCATTCCAAGGATAGGCATTTGTCGTGTGGGCATTGTGCGCCCACGCCCTTCCTCTTGAACCTGCCCAGATCATGGTCTGAACTCACAGCCACCCAGGGACAGCTGCTTGACTGACAGGTTACTTAGGACTTAGCTCTGAGCAGCAGTGCAGGCTGCTCATGTAGCTAAAAAGAGGCTCTTCTGTAGGGGACAGTTGTATTCTCTGACACAGATGTCCAGAGGAAAAGCAAGGAGTCAAATTCCAATCAGCCTTCCATCTGCCAAGAGCAAAGTGAGACAAAGACATAGATTAGACAAGACTTGATAATGGGAGTATTAGACTAGTCATAGTATTATACAAGATGATTCCTAAGAAAAAAACACAGTAAGAATTATAAACATTTTCTTTATCAAGGTGGGCTGCGCACACACACACACACACACACACACACACACACACACATAGACACACCCCACTAAGAAGCAATTCCTATACAGTGTTTTATGGCTAACAGACTTCTGCATGTTTGTCTAACATACATGCATATGTATATTTATATTTTAAATGTCTTTGGAAGAGTTATTTCTCAGAAACTATAATATCAAAGTAACGTGAAAATCCATGTGGCCATGCTTTTATTTTTTTTAGACATTAAACCCAGGGCTGCACACATTCCAGGTAAGTGCTTTACCATTGAGCTACAGCCCCAGTCCCCAGTATTCTTTTTTTAACCTCCAGTATCAGAGCTGGATATTTTACAGTTTTGAATTTCTTTCTCTTTTTTTTGTCATTTCTTTATTTCACTTTAAAATTCTGAGATCTTATATAGATAAGAGTTATTAATGACAATGATGAAATGATAATATGTTTTAATTGCCACAATATATATAATTTTTTTCAGTGCTGGGGATTGAATCCAGGGCCTCACACATGCTAGACAAACACTCTACCTCTAAGCTACATCCCCGGTCCTATCTGAATTTTACAGGTGGTGAGGTAGAAAGAAAAGTGGTCTGAGGGTTAACAAACAACTGCCTCAACTCTGCACTAGCTTTGGGTCAACAACCAGGAACAAGTTCTTTCATACCTTAAGCCTTAGTTTCTTGATCGACAAAGGAAAAATCAGAAGCAAGTGAAGATAGAAGTGGCATCTTGTTCTTGTGTTCTGTGAGCAATTTCTTTTTCATTTTGCACTATTGATGGGTGGTTGCCAAAACAAGCACTTCCATGGATAGTATCACTGTTAAGTTACTATGATGAAATTTAAAATTTAGCAGAGTAGCAAAATTTACTCTGAACAATTTTATTCTGCTCTGAATACCCAACCATACAGTTGATGGGGAAACCAGGCTCATTCCTTAGTAGGGTTCTCCACCTCTTCAGGTTTGACTAAAGATCCCAGTGAGTAATGGGAGAAGTCAAAAGGGTCCACTACAACTCTGTCCACACTGGTCTCCAGTAAGTTCACTGTCCACATGGACAGTGGTCTTCTGAGGGCAGTTGGAGGACATTTTTATCATGGCTCCCATCACTACACCCTTGGAGTTCACATCCTGGGACTGCCTAGACCAACTGCTCTACTGCTGAGCCACAGTCTGAGCCCCAGGAGCTATTTTTCTCTTACCTGACAACTTCTGATTCCTGCTGCAACACAAAGGCCACCCAGAAAAGGAAAAAAGAAAATAAATTCTGGCTTCATCTTTGCTTGGGAAAGAGAAAAACATCTGTATCAACAGGAACAAAGAACTTGCTGTCTTACTAGAGCAGCCAGCTCTGTCAGTAAGAAGTCATAATACCTTATGCTAATAAGTAATGAGACAGTAAAACCAGGAATAAAAACACAAGTCATAGATTTTTCTCAATCATTCAACAAACATTGATGGAGGACCTCATATTCACGAACCTAGATAAATTGTCTATTCAGATTGGATTACTAGGATATTTGGCTCCAATGACCATCTCATTCAGAACTGGTGGAACATGAAAGCTTTTACAATCTTTTCCACATATCATCTTATAATACTTTCCATGGCTAAAATTAAAATTTCCATGGCTTCTACTTTCCATTGGTTCTAAGGGATTTTTCCACATCCTCCATTTCTTTTCCTTCTACCATCTCTTTAGATTACTGTAAAGAAACCTCTCAGGCTCACCTTAGTTGTTTCCCCTACTCTTTTCATAAATACTGTATTTGTTTTCCATACTTCATGTCAGAATGAAAAATCATAAGTGACAGATGACCTATAGCAATAAAGAACCCTAATGTACTGAAAAGTTTCTCAAGAAACTTCAAGAGAGGTTGTAATTCTTTCAACTGATAAAAGTTACTCTTTCATACAGATCAGATAAGATCAGTAAAATTAAAAAAATGAAATAAATTCTAGCAATAAAATTTATTTAACTCAAGTATCTCTAAAATAGCATTTCAACATGTAATTGATACTTAAAAAATTTTAAAGGGATATTTAATGTTGTTGTTGTTGTTGTTGTTGTTGTTGTTTTCTGGTACTGGGGATTTGAACTCAAGGATGCTTTGCCTCTGAACTATATTCCCAGCCCTTTTAATCTTATTTTGAGACAGGGTCTCAGTAAATTGCTCAGGCTGGGCTCAAACTTGTGATCCTCCTGCTTCAACCTCTCAAGTCACTCAATATTACAGGCATGTACCACCATTATACTAAGTATTTAAAGTCTGATGTGCATTTCACCCTTGGATCACATCTCAATTTGGACTAGGCTCATTTCAAGCCTCAAGACACATGTGGCTAGTGGCTACTATATTGAATAGTTCTGCTTAAGACAATTAAATGATGAATTTTTAAAGAAGATAAACTGTAATCTCTGTTTATTTTGTAAAATCCACCTTTAGATTATTGTGAAAAAAATAAAAATAATCTTTATTATGTGTCATCTTTTTTTTGTGCATGGCTAAACTGATTAAAGATTTTTCTGAAATATTTTATCAGTAAACCTGACAACAGTAGTAGCCCAAACCTCTTCCAAAATTATCCTAAACCTAATTTCTTTTTATTAATTTTTTTCTTGTTAAATATTTTAAGAAAGAATTTGAAATCAGTAAATAAAAACTGCTATATTTTGAGGGAATTCCTTTTAAAAGCTTAATTAAATTTTTGATTGTGAGTTATCTATAATCAAAAGAAAGATGAATGCACATAATTAAAAAAGAGTATAAAAATACAAAATAAGAGGCTTTCCTCTCCACTTTCAATCACAAAATACAATCTTGTTGACAATATCTGGTTTTAGTTCTTCTATTGAATAGCATTAATTTTTATGGAATATACATTTATTTTCTGAAATTTTCATATTTTTCTCTGCTTTTATGACCCAAAGTGACCTCTTCTTTTATTTCTTTTTGTCTTCATTTTCTTGTGGTAATTTTTAAATGATTCATGAGCAGTAAGCTTTTTAATTCTAACATATCCAAATATATCTACATTTCCCTCTCCTTTACCAATCAGTTGGCTGGATATATTCAGGTTGAAAATCATTTCCCTCCCAAAACTTTAAAGCAGTATTTTGTTGGGTTGTAGCATTCAGGATTGCTGAGAAGACTCATAACAGTCTGATTCTCATTCCAATATAAGTAATCTGTTTTATTTTGCTTCTCCTGAATCTTTTAAGATATGCTTTTTATATATGGAGTTCTGAAATTTCACCAGAATATATTTAAGCATGGTGTTTTCGTCAGCTTTTTTTTTTTGCTGCTGAGACTAAAAGAATTTAACCAGAACAATTTTAGAAGAGGAAAAGTTTATTTGAGGGCTCACCAGTTCAGAGGTCTTAGTACATAGAAGGCCAGCTCTGTTTCTCATGGCTCCAGGTGAAGCAGGACATCATGGTGGAAGACTAGCTGGGGAAGCAGCTCCTGCTGGATCAGGAAGCAGAGAGATTCCACTTGTCACATGCAAATATAAACCCTGAAGCCACGCCCCCAATGCCACACCTCCTCCAGACACACCCCACCTGCCTTCTACCAGGTGATTAATTCACTGATTGGGTTAAGACTCTCACAGCCCCATCATTGCTTGCATTGTCGCACACGTGAGTTTTTTGGGGGACCCCTCACATCCAAACCATAATACATGGGTATTGAGTGTTTGTAAGTTCTCTGTTTAATTTTATATGGCTTACATGTGTCCTTTCAACCTAAAAAATGTTTGCTTCTCCTCAACTCAGGGAGATTATGTTCTGAAACTTCAATTTCCTGGAACTATCCTCCATACCTCAACTTTTCTCTCATATTTCCTACCTTTTTATTTGATTTCTTTACATGCTAGGAAATTTTACTTTCCCCAACATCAATTTATTGGAAATAAAAAATAATAAAGTATTTTTACTTTATTATTTTTTATTTCCAATAAATTCTTACTATTCACTAATTATTCCTTTTCAATAGTATCTTGGTGTTATTTTATTAATACAATCTCCTCTTGAATATCTTTAAGGATACTAAAATATTTTTCAAATTCTCTTCTACTTCCTAAATTATTTTTCCTCTAAACACATTTGCATGAGTTTATTAATCTTGGACTTTCTCTTTCATGCTCTAGATTTTTCTTGAGTTCTTGTGAAACGAAGAGCTTCAAGGATTAATTGAGATGGTTGGTATTAGTTTTCTTTTAAGTCATGTATGTGTATTTCTGTAACAAATGTCTTCTTCAATAACTGGTTTAAAATCCTCATGTGCTAATTGCAACATCTTAGTCATTTTAGCCCAATCCTCATTGATTGGCTTTTCTGAACAGGATGGGTTATTTTTCTGTTTCTTTTTATGTAGAGAAAGTCTGGGTTGTGTTTTAGACATTGTGGATGATATCGTATGGAGACTGGGGTCTATTGTGTCTCTCCAACAAAGTTATTATTTTTTTTAAGAAGCCAGTTAAAATGTCTGAAAACTCTCCCCAGTGATAAGCAGTAGTTCAAACTCACTTCAGTGTTTTTTTTAGCCTTCATTCTCTTGATTAGTTCTCCTTAGAGTCAGCCACAGAAT